CATTAAAATCCAACAACGGTGACGACAACAAGGACTTCAAGAAAGCAATAGGTTTATACGTAAAACAACTACTCAGCATGTACAGCACACTATTCTTTTACATTCCTTTGCCGTTACTTCAAGGCCACGACGTAAAATGGCTGTTTTCCCTTTTAATAGAGGACGTAAAAACGCTAACGAAGAAAGTTTCTTTCTTTTTCTGAACTTGGATATGGTTCAAAGGAAATCAATTCCAGGATCCAGGAGACTTCGCCTACATTTGACAAATGTATTAAGAAGTCATTTCAAATATTCGCGATGGAGATTAAAAGAACGCGAATTCACTTTCTAAGCGACGTATACTGTGCAGTGTTGATTTGTTTTGTACGCTAAACGCTAACTCTAAAACCACAAAGCGGAATTAATCTCGAGCCTCTCTGTTCGTATGTCGCAAAATTAATGTCTAATGAACTTCCCACGTATACTCAGCGTTTCATATTTGCACAAATAATCAACTTTGTCAGCTGACTTATCGAATTGAGCTTAACTTTCATTATGTGCAATCATCATGTGTAATACACCTGACAGGAGACTGATCATTGAATATTTCAATAGTTGAAGATCAGTCAAAGCTTAGATTAGTAGAGATGTAGTCTTACTTGAAGGTCATCCACTCCAAGAGCATCATTAGCAAACGACTGCAACTCTCTCCCAATTAAGGTTGGATCTAACAAATTTCTACCGTTCCCCTGGGGCACAAAAATGGGACAGGCTACCAAAAAAAGAACAGCAGAAAGCTTTCGTATCTCAGCCGCCATTTCCTTTTGGCTTTATGGAAACAAATTTCCAATTCAACTTGACACTTGTTTGCGTCATGTCATACGGAATGATTCAGCTGAATGACTACTCAAGTAAAATTACTGAGATACAGCAATCTTCATGCCCGAATGCACCCATAGTTGCCCCAATAAGTGTCACGGGAGTTTCAAAAACAGTTATTTCACTAAAAACGTTGATTTCGACTTCCTCGATTTATGGAGTAGCTGATTTCTTATAGACCTTTGATAAGGTAAGAAAAACAATCGAGAAAATGCTTTTAAACACAAGAAAAAGGAACCCGGGTTTAATTTAACCTGTGGTTAAGCGCTAATCGTTCTTCGAACAACTGGGCCCGGAGGCTCGTTTCATTAACGTCCCGGTAACTTTTCGAACCCGAAATCAAATATTCAAATCGAAATGTAAATAATAAGAGCGCGGGTCCTGGCTAGCAAACTACTCCATTTTGTTTCATTAACCGATAGTTTTATCATGTTAGAAGCAAAACTATTAAATCCTCTTTTTGCATGTAAACCAAAACAGCCTTACGGGCCCGTTAATTATCGGGACTCTTGAGAAACGAGCCCCAGGTGAACATTTTAATAATTGTCACAACCATTCCTCTTGACTTTGGATTGATATTGTTGGGAGAAAATTGATGTTGGTCATTCGTTCTAGCTTGGGACTTAAAGGATTACTGGGCTGGTTTAATTCTAATGTAATGTGTGAATAAAGGTGAAAATATTGTCGAATCCGATTACCACCAAGTATGTTTTTTTGCCCATAGCGTACTATTAGTGAACGCTGCAATTCCAATATTTCCTCTCTGATTTCCTTCTATATTCCAGTTTTTGACTGAGTATATACACCGCTCACCAATTTCTGTCAATAATTTACCAAACTTAGCGCTTCCAGAAACAGGCAAACCATTAAAAGATCAACACAGATATGGTTTTGGTTAGGCATGTCAAAACTTAAAGACAACTTAAATTTGTTTCCCAGGAATTCCGCCAACAGATATTGGTCCAGCTAAAAAAAGGCCCAATACATTTTTAAGATCGACCGATGTATATCGTTGATTTCATATAATTACATATTATATATTATATTCGCCGACTTTGATCGATGGCCGGAATCTTACTTTCGGTCTACTCAGTTTTAAATCCGACGACGGCGACGGCAACGAGCCCTCCAAGAAAGCAATAGGTTTATATAAAATACGCAAAACAACCGACTAAGCATGTGCAGCACACTTTTCCTTTACATTATTCCTTTGCGGTCACAGCACGGTTACGACGTAGCCTTACGACGAAATGTACTTTCTTTTTCTGAACTTGGATATCGGTTCGTAAGAATTCTGATGTTTAAGTCTCTATGAAGGTGGTGTGCCGCGTCGATTTGTTTTGCAGTGTACGCTAAACTCGAACACAAAAAAGCGGAATTAAACTCGCGTTTTCTTTTTGGCATGTCGCAAAATTAATGTCTAATGAACTTCCCACGTACAGTCTGTATTTCGGATTTGCACGAGTAAAGAGCTTTGTCGACTTATCGAACTGGGCTAAACTTTGATTATGTCAGTGCAATCAAAGTGTGTAACCCATCTGACAGAAGACTAATCATTGAATATTTTAGTAGTTGAAGATCAGAAAATGCCTTGTTAGCAAAGATGTGATCTTACTTGAAGGTCATCCACTCCAAGAGCATCATTGGCAAACGATTGCAACTCTCTCCCAATTAAGGTTGGATCTAACAAATCTCCAGCGCTCTCCTGGGCTACAAAGATGGCACAGGCTACGAAAAAAAGAATAGCGAGAAGCTTTCGTGTCTTAGCCGCCATTTCCTTTTGGCTTTGTAAAAACAGATGATATGTCGATCATTCAACCATGCACTTGTTTGCGTCATGTCATGGAGAATGAACATATGGAATGAATCGGCTGACTACTCAAAGTAAAATTACTGAGATACAGCAATCTTCATGCCCGAATACACCTCATTTGTCCGAGTACGTGTTCCGGGAATTTCTAAAGAACAGTCATTTCACTAAGAACTTTTTTTTCGATTTCCTCGATTGATAGAGTAGAAATTTTAAAAACAATTACTGTAAAACAAGGACGCCATTCTGCTTTTCTTTCAACTCTATGGCAAACGCTTGACAAATAACATGAAATTGAAATAAAACCGCAAAAAAGAGAAAAAAGCCCACGAAACCGCATACCAAATCGCCGCTAAGATAATACTTAACAATTGTTCCTCGAACCCGAATGGGCTCTGAGTGAATATTGACTCACAGACCATGAGGGCGAGAGGAATAATTGTTAATTGATAAAATCCAACTAATTGGTCAAAAATATCGAGACAAAATAACTTTAGCTAGCAAAACGCGATTCAGCCGCCGTAGTTTTGGTTTTCAAAGGCGGCGCTTTTCGCTACTAGTGGGCTATAACATATAAGTGTCAAAGGCGAAGCTCTGGTTAATAATACTTATAAACAAAAAAATTTAAATCGTGTAATGCTAAACAGGGACGACAATGAAAATGGCTTCAAGGCTAATAGATCTGATAAGAAAAAAAACAAATTGCACGTGCAGCACATTTTTTCTTCTAATTAGCACAAAACAAATTTGCACGTGCAGCACGCTTTGTTTTTTCCCTTTCCCGTTGTTTTGCACGACTACAACGCTGTTTTGTACGACTAAAACGTCAGACTTCCTAGTTACACATTATTTTTATGGAGGAATTGTCGTATGTGTTTACCTATTTTGTTTCCTGTGTTCTTGTTCGCTTTTATTTTCCACTGCCGCTCATTTTCACCTTAATGTCCGCTCCTTGCTGGCCACTAGCATTTGTCATTTTCTCATTGCCGCTTTGAATTTCCATGTTTTTCTTCCAACGAAATTCGTCTTCTTTGTTTTCAATAACTCGCTCTAGCTCTTTCTCTGTGATCCACGTGAGTGTAAACATAAAAAATAATGCCGAAAAAGACACGACTTTGTCGTTGTTTTTTCTTTCTAAAAGCCCGGGCGGCCATATTAAAACCTTGAGTTGCATTTGGGTTGCCATACCTGTTGATTGAGTTATTTTACATTAATATGCCTGTGGTGCGGACGGACGGTCGGTGTACGGTCACGTGATTACCAAATTTTCTCGGATGGGTAGATTACCACATTTCCGTAGCTATAGGGCTCCACCCACGCGCACTGCGCGTGGAGCTCCGCTAAAAACGGAATGCACCGCTTGGACCTTACTTTATGGCGCTGTTAACCAGACCGGCTCACCTATCGTCTTCGTGCCTCGCGGCACATAAGGGGTGCTTTCCATTAAACAAACCTGTGGAAGGTCAAAACAAGAGTTTAATATGCCTATTATTGTCGGGGCACTTGGGACAATCCCAAAATGATTAGTTGGCAGAGGTGAATCTTGATGTGGCTCAGATTCATTCCATTCCTTATTTTAAAGGAACAGCGCGAATCCTCCGACGGGTTCTCGAGTACTAAGGTAGTCTGCTACACAGCCGTTTTTAGTGTCGTCACGCAACGCTCCTCCCCACAAACGGCTGCTGAGAACCGAACTACATTCCGGGAGAGAGTTGCGTGACGACACTAAAAACGGCTGTGTAGCACACTGGTACTAAGGTTGTAGGATGTGACTTGTACCGGGAACTGGTTACCAGTTGAACACTGAGAGTATATCTAGCCGAATTTTTGAAAGCGTGCTTCAAAAAGGCCCAGAATATTCGCACAGAAACCTGGCCAAAGCAGGGTTTCTGTTGACTGCGGTACGAATTTTCATAGGGGGTTTGCTGTATTGCTTGGTCTCATCGTTAAGCTAACTTGCCATAGGGTGGGAAGGGGCCTCCTTGTCAATCCCTAGGGGGGTAAGGGGGTGAGGGGGAGGGGTAGCGTGCTGCAAAAGAGTCGTATGGTTAGTTAGTCTCTCTGGAGAATCAGTTCACTGATCATGTGTCTGCTTTACGTTGGTCATGCCAAATTCTTTAAATGTTTCAGGCTGATTGGCCAAGGAGAGGGTTCCCCTCACCCGTGTGCTCGGCTGCAAGGCCGTGTCAGGTCGGGGGGGGGTGATGTGGCCTTGAAAGCTCTGTTTCGGGCTAGCTTAAGCCTCATGCTGCCTCTGACATGTAGAGCCTTAAAGGAGCTAAAGATGGCCAGGTTGAGAGTGTCTTTTTGATAGACTTAACTGTTTCTTTGCTAATCAGATGGGAGTCACCTTAGAAGGCTTATGGGTAAGAGCTGAGTTTCTGTACAATATTTCCCTTATTTAAGCCGAGTTAAACTGTATGACCTAGAATAGCCAGCTGGTGCGATTTTCATAAATTCGGCTAAATAATAATAATAATAATAATAATAGTGATGATAATGATAATGATAATGATAATGTCCATTTGACACCCGGGTGAAAGACAAAGAGAAAGAGAAAATTGAAAACTACGAAGACCTGAAGCGGACTTGAAACGGATCTGGAAATTGGCAGGGCATAGTAGTTAATTGGTGCATTAGGAACTGTCTCGAAAGACATAGAAAAGTGGCTAGCAGAGATTGGTGTCACATGTCGTTTAGAGTCTGCAGAGAACGTGCTTACTGGGTACAGCCAAAATCCTTCGCAAAGTCTTGGACACCTTAAGTCACGGGCGGTACGTGACTTGATGTTTAAGGAGGACTCCACCCAATCCTGTGTTTACGGAGGATAATAATAATAATAATTATTATTATTATTATTATCATTATTATTATTATAAAATTATTTTTAAAAAAAATCATTATTGTTATTATTATACACCAAATGGAAATATGGCGGACCACTCGGGCGGACCGGGCCGAGCTGCGCAAAGTCGAGGCTAGTTAGGCCTCGATGTGTTTTGTTTTGACAACACGTCAGTAGAAACTTGCAAACATCGAGCGTATTGATAGTCATTTTCGCGATGCCCACTCATTGCTGTGTCCCTGAATGTAACCAAAAAGGTGTAAAATCGCCAACGGGAGAGAAAGTATCTTTTTTTGAATTTCCAAATGAATCTTCACTGAGAAAGAGGTGGATTCACGCGATCCGACGAGACGAAGGAAAGAACTGGCAGATCACTCGAGACACGAAAGTTTGCTCTTTGCATTTTAGACGAGAAGATCTTAGAAAGTCGCTCGCTGGACGAATTTATCTTGTGGATGGATGTGTACCGTCAAGATTTGCTTGGTCTATTCCATCCCCAAGGAAAAGAAAAGCACCAACTGAAAGGCTGCCTTTGCCAATTCCCTTGTCTTTGAAGAAGCGGTTGTTTACATCCGACACTTCTTCTGAAATCAACATCGCGTCTTCAGCTGTTGAAAGTTCAAATGAAATATTTCCCAGTACAAGTGGAGGCAACGAAACAAATGAGCCCGATATTAGCGTTGAGAGTAACGTGGAAATGGATCAAGGAAAGAAAGTCGAGGATCTTGAGGCTAGACTTTTACAATCTGAAAAGGAGCTTGCGATCCTTCGAAAGAAGAACGAGGAACTGGAAAGAAAGATTATCGAAAACGAACAGCACCAGGAGACACTGTCTTCCCGTTTATTTTCTCTTGATCGCTTAAAGTCCAATGCGGATGTTAATTTTTATACTGGCCTTCCTAATTATGCTACTCTCATAAGTATTTTTGAATTTCTGAATCCTGGTGAGGATTGTGAAAACATTCGCTCCAGGATCAGCTCAGACGTTCCTGAGGAGTTTTACAACTCTGAATCTGACGACGAGGAAGATACGTCGACAACCAAGAGAGGACGCCGCCGAAAACTTAAGCCTTAGAGGAATTTTTTAATTGTTCTGTGTAGCTTAAGGAGAGGATTTTCTGAGCGACATCTAGCTAACTTATATGGTGTGGCACAATCAACAGTGAGCAGAAGCTTTATCCAGTGGATTAATTTCATGTACTTGAAGTTTGGACAAATCTGCATTTGGCCGTCTAAAGCTGTTGTACAACAAACCATGCCTCTTGATTTTAAGGAGAAATTTCCCACTACAAAAGTCATAATAGACTGTACGGAAGTGTTTTGTGAACTGCCAAGTAGTCTACTTTTAAATTCCGAACTATTCAGCTCCTACAAAAATCATGTGACATTAAAAGGACTAGTTGGAATTTCTCCAAGTGGTGCCATCACTTTTGTGAGCCAATTATACACAGGCAGTATTTCTGACAGGGAAATCGTTTTGCGAAGTGGGCTACTGTCACAAGCATTTGATGATGGTGACTCGGTCATGGCTGACAAAGGATTTCAGATTCAAGATATTTTGCCCTTGGGTGTTACCCTTAACATCCCACCATTTCTCGGGGGAGACAGCCAAATGTCAGCGGAGGATGTAGTGCGGACACAGCAAATTGCAAGTCTAAGGATTCATGTGGAAAGGGCAATAAACAAGATTAAGAACTTCCGTATCTGGCAGACAGTTGTACCATTAAGTTTATTCGGAGTCGTTAACCAGATGTGGAGCGTGTGTGCTTTTATGTGCAATATTCACGATCCGCTTATTTCCGGATAAATATGACAACATTAATATTTTTGTCCTTGATTCCCATTGTAATTTATCGTTGAAAGCCACAAAAACTGACTGCACTTATGAGTCGCCATCTCAAGTTTCCTTAAGGTTTAAACAAATTATTGTACAATGAACATTAACCATTAGCTTATTTACATGTATATGTTAAAACAAACTATAAGTTTGTGCAACTCTCTAAACTTTTTTAATCTTAAGAAATTTGGAAAATCATATCCATATTTAGACTGAAACAGTATTATATTTATGAAATATTGTTATCTTTTTCATCATCTGTTTGACTTTTTTGACTTCAAAAATAATAATATTACCACTAGTAGTGCTTTTTTCTGTAATGGTCTGAAGCAGTCTGCAACACAATCAGAAGCTCTCGTTAAATTGACTGTATACCAGATATCACATAAAATGTCCTCCATTTTTATGATTGCAGACAGAACATATTTGTACAGTGTGTATGACTTCATTTTAGCTTGAACACAGTAAAGCAGTCTGGTACCAGGTGATTGTGTCTCAGAATGTTACAAACCCTAAAATAGAAGCTAGGCATAACTAGTACATAGACACTATATGAAACAGTGACATTAACTTTCAATTTTAACAAGTGATAGTTATTTTGCTCATTTCACATGCTGCAGTATAGGTTAAATTAAGGTTCCCTTGCTGCTAAAGCTAAAAAGTGTTTGAAATAATAAATTTTTAGTGTTCCTTTTAACTCATTCCAAAACTGAGGATCAAATGGAATGCGCTCAATACTCATTCCCTTGCTGGTATATACAACAAAATCGCACCACTTGGCACCAGTTACTCCCATCAGTCCCTGGACTTGAGAGTAGTATTTGTGTGTCCTCTTAAGCTTTGGCTTTCCATCAACTTCTTCCACGAAAAAACTGCTATCAGAACAGGCATCCAAGGGAGTAACCAGATATTTTTTCTCTGGGCACTTGACTTCAGAAAGCCCAAAGGGATCATCGCAACCTGGATCAATTACCTTAGCATCAGGTGAAGCACCCACGTAGGGGGAATCTAGGCTGATAACAAGTCCTGACTTAAGTATCTTAACAGGCCTTCGAATTGACATCATGTACTTCTGGTACTGTTCACGGGCGACTGGCTCATATTTGAGACCATGATTTGTATACCTCGAAGAAAAAGGTTTGGGGTTAAGTAGATTTTTTACTATGGTCTCATGGTTTCGTTTCCTTTCCCTGATAAGGCCAAAATTTGAGGCAGTGAACCTAAATTTTCTTTCATCCTTCCATTCTTGGCAAGTTGACTGTTCCCGTGTTTTCCTTTCAATTTCATTTAGCTCATCAACATCTACTGGTATTTTTTCTAGTAAGCATCTCTCATCTCCAGAAATCTCAGGCGGTATTTCAAACTGTTCATGTGAAGCCCTGAGAGGAAATCTGGGAAAAGCAGTTAACTGAGAATCATGAACATGATTGTCTGAATGTCACAAAACACTTTAAAGTTATCTTCAGTAACGGATAGTTGGTAACTGGCAAAGGATCCTTGAGGACTTTTTCCAAATTTTGTCGGGACGAGTGTAGTTGACTCAGTTCTTGCAGTCATAATTTGTGATAAAGCCATTTTAGGGTTAAGCTCTCTTAACCGTTCCAATAATTTTGTTTCAGATGCCTGCTGACCCTTAAGGCTATTTCGGGCCTCATACAAAAGACATTTCACACCAGAGTCTCTGGATGATGATTGTTTGTCTAACTCTAAGCGTGTTTTGGTCACCAACACTTCCATCACTGGTTGTGGATTTATACAGTCTCCTCTTCCCTTGCGATGCCACTGCTGCAGAGTTGATGCGCAGCTCCGTTTTGGCTGCATATCGTCTTCGTTTTCAAGCTCAGTCACACTTTTACACTCATACAATGAAAACTTGCATAATTTTAACAAAAGAGCCAAAATATGGTTGCAAAACCTGACCTGGCCAGCACAAGAGCAAGAGGCATTCTTGACCTCTCCACTAAAAATGCACAATGCAACTTTTAAGTTGTGGGGAGGATCATTTTTTCTAAAGCTGTGATAGCACTGACAGCGCAAATAGAAATAAGTATTATCGCTTGCTGCTGACAAGTTCTTTAAATATTCGTCGTTCAAAAACGTTGTAGCTTTTCGCACACTAGTCGGTACTGAGTGACTTTTGCTTGAATCAATGTTTTTCCCTGACTTTGCGATATGATTGTTCATCTCGGCACGCGTGTAAAAAGGCATTCGTTTTATATCGCCAGACCAGCCATCCGAAGGGTAGTTTGGTTGCGGTGCATTAACAGCAGCTGAAATGTTGTCTTCACTCGCCGTTCGGTGTTCTTTGCGCTTTGTATACACATTGTGAAGATCAGGATCAACTATATTTTGGTCTCGGCCAGTTCTGATATACTCTTCCACCCTTTAAAAGCGAAAAGAAAACTACTTTTAGTTCGTAAAATCCGATTTTTCACATGTATAGGTGTAATATTTTGACAAGTCATAGCGAAACACGAAGCGATCTTGCGCCTTACCTCTTCACTAGCGCTGCCTTTGTTTTCAATCCCTTCAAAGAATCGCCTCTACATCTCAGCCAAAAACGAAGTTCTTCGCATTTTAATGCCTGGGGCTCTCTTCCAGCGAGAGAAGCTCCCGGGATATCGTCCTGGGTTAGCACACGTGCAGCCATTCGTGACAACCAAAACATCAGGGAAAAGCCGTGGCCTAACTAGCCTCGATTTCGCGAAACTCGGCCCGGTCCGCCCGAGTGGTCCGCCATATTTGCATTCGGTGTATTATAGGCCATCATTGAGGAAGATAAAAGGAGAAAAGAAACCTATCAGCAGCCTAGTTAAATTACAAAAAGGAGTTTAACTCTGTGCCCATGACCTACAATGAGGGACAAAAGTGTTGACACACTTCCATAAAATGGCCCCTTTTTGCATAGTGGATATACTTATCCCCTTCCCCTGTCTACCCCAACCCCTTCCCCCCAAAGTCAATGTTGAATTTTGGACCCTCAAGTCTTTTTTTTACTTCAGACAACATTGATTCGGGGGGTGAGGGGATTTACGGCGTTTAAAAAGAATGAAATAATAAATGAATAAAATGTTTGTTAAAAGCACCCGTTTTAAACAAGTGTGTCAACTACTTTTGTCCTTGATTGTAGATATTAAAAAGCCTTGACATCTATAGTGGCAAATTTCAAAGTGGTCCTCTTCCTATTCTCCTCTTCTGCATTGCTCTTGCTCCGCTATCCTCTCTTCTCAACAGCAACAGTTATGGTTACACTACAAGTACATCTGCTATCAATCACCTATTCTACATGGATGACCTGAAAACATTTGGAAACAAGAACGCTCTTAAAAACGTTGAATCTCGCTTGCTTAGAGATTAAATAGGAAATACGAAGCTCTAAAACCGTTCACTTGACTCGACCTTGCCTGGAGATAAGATAAGAAATGAGGAGGCAATCAAGTTTTAAGGGGCCTGTGTCGGGCGTGGAAGCCATAGGGACCACACGGAGAAGGAGAAAAAAAAATAGAATTTAAAGTTCATAAAAAATACGATTCCAAGTTTTTCTTTACCATTGATTCTCGTTAGATTTGTTATTTTTGCGATTTTTGCGATATTTGTAAGTGATTTTCTTACACAATTTTTTTCTCAATTATTTCTTTTGCGACAATTGCGAAAAAATTTGCTAGCAAATTTTTGCTAACAAGATCGATCCTGGACATAAGTGTTTTTCGCTTACGTCTATATTATCCCTTTGACGAAATAATTTAATTTTTGAAAAATCTATGTATTTTTCTGTAATTCCAGATAATTCACAGGATCTTTTGAGATCATGACACTAGTCGTTCTGTTTTTTCGACGAAATACTTTTTTGACGTCCTTGATGTTACAGATAATGCCTCTTGAAGAAAAGTAGAAAACGAAAAAGACAGAAAAAAATATTCAGGACACATTTATAGTTGTATTATCTGTCTTAAAATTTGTGCTTGGTAACGTAGAAAAAGAATGTTTAAGAGCGGCTCCGCGTAATTAACTGGGCTGCCTGTGGCACATCCCAGTTTATAGAATGAGTTACATTTTTTTCTCTGGGGGGAGGGGGGGGGGTGTATTTCTGGGAAGTCGTAGTGGGGGTGCACCGTCCGGCTCTCCTAATCTTTCACTATTTCAGAACAATATCTATAAAGTTAATGTAAGAGAGTACTCCCCCGGGATTTATGTCGTGAAAACGGACAACTTTAAACTCTATGATGGCTTGACAAGAAGTACTTACCCATGTTAAGCGAAGGCAGCCATTAAATGACGAAGTGTTTGAAGCTAGCGTACTGTGCTTTTTCATCGTCTCTTTCAAAAGATTCTACGATGAGTACCTTGTGGGGTTTTTCTTCACTATTTCTTGAAGTTTAAGCCTTTGGATGACTTTTTCCCTTCCAAAACGTTATGGCAAATCTCTCTGTGTTTGTGGCTAGAGTGTGTGTGTGTGTGTGTACGTCCATTGAATAAAGACGTCTCTCAAGCTATCATTGACACTCTTTTATCAGTGACGGCCAATGTCTCCTTTTATTTTATTGCGATTCTTGCTTTGCGCGTGAAAGGTCATTCTTTACAGGAAAGGAATGCCCTGGGGAATGTGCTCACTGTAGATCACCACGTCAAAGAAATATATAAATAAATATACATATATTCACAAGGACAGTTAGAAAGGCTATGTAGCGCAATATCAGACAAAAACAAAACTTTAATTTAATTTGCTTTGTTAGTTTTAAGAACCAGAATTGGCAGCGTTTTCTGACCTGTAGAACAATAATTTTTGGAATTTCCGGTTAGGTCATATTAGTCACAATATATTTTTTGGTGGTGGGGGGGAGGAGAGTGGGATTGGGGGAGGGGTGCCAGAAAAAAAACACTAATTGTTTCTTGCTTAGAATGGCTCACTTGCTTATATTTATTCATAATGGTGGAATTTGAAAAGGTACTATACAGCAATGGTACTCATTTTCTTGCAACGAAAGTCTTCCAAAAGGGTACAGGTTCAAATGAAGTAAATGTTTAACTATCACACGTGAGATGCTATGTCACGCAATCGTCATCGACAAGCCTGGTGGCCTGAGTGTATGCAGCCAACCTCTCCCCCAGGAAAATTTTCAGCTCAGTTAAAATAGCCTTTTGGCGATTCTTGTTATCAACTAGACGAGGAAATAGCCAGAAAATGACCTGGCCTCAAACTCAGCCAGAATCAAGCCCTGTGAGCACTAGTTACAAATTGTTGGTGTAAGTCCAATCGATTGAACAATATTTTTTTAAGGAATTTTTTTTTCTCGAGACCTCTTAAGCCGTCGACATACTCGCTTTTCCCCCGCTTAACGTCAATTAGACGTTTTGGTCAGACCCCGTCCCTCCCTCCCCCTCCTTAACGTCCACTTGAAATTTTGCTGCCCCCCAGAATACTCCCCCCCTGACATGCACTTACGTGAAGATGTCAACGGTACCAACATAATTTACTGCTTTTAAAACATGGTAGAAACTTCATATTTTAGTATAGAGTTTAAAAGATCACAATGTACAACGTACAATTTGCTAGTAGTTAGGGGAAGAGTTTAAGAGCTCAAAAGTTACACTCCATTCTTTAATTGGTCCTGCTTTCTGTTGAATAATGTCACGAGCGCCGTTCCACATATGACATACGATTTTAATATGAAAATGCATCAGTTTGCTTTTGTCCAAAGATGCCCCGTACTAACATCCACTTCCTTACCCCCTCCCCCTCATACGTCCAGTTGACTACAAACATTAACCACAGGACTCCAAAGAACCGCAAAGGAATATGCCGAAGAACGTAGGATCTATAAAGAGCTGATCAGCAAAAATGACAAGTAGAGAGAGAGTTATTTATTTCATTGTTTAATTTAAACAGTTTTTTATAAGTAATGTATAACCTCCACCCACTTGTAACCGCTCTGTGGTAGTAGCCAACTCAAAAGCTTGGCTCGTTTGGCTGCTACACACTTTTTCCTCTGTTATGTTTAATTCAATGTATAGTTAGCTCTGTTTTTACTTCTTTTTTTTCTTATTGTTGTTGTATTGTAATTGAATGAGTGTGAATAAATGAACTTGAACTTGAAATTCTGCAAGCAGAATACTGTAATTCTGATCGTACTACGTGAAAATTAACTTTGCAAGACATCAACACGACACCGAAAGAACTCAAAACAGAGCGTGATTGTAGCCATAGATAGCTGTTTCGCCCTTTCGGGGCTCGTCAGTATGGCGCAACAACCAGAGAAAGTTCTGATGAAAAACATCCGCGCACTCTGATTTAAGCCCTGACCTAGAACTCTCAACACCCACAGAATCACGCCATACCACGTGTCTTCTAGGGGGCAAGAGTCCAAGGGTCAAGTTGATGTCTCGCAGAGAAAATAAAGGATCGGCCAAAACCAACCTGTAAAACATGGACAGAACCATGCAAGAATTACAGCATATCGGATCTATAAAGGATCTACGGACCCAAAATACATACATTTTCGCGTAGTACGATCAGCATTGCAGTATTCTGCTTGCAGAGTTTAATATGTGTACTTGTCATTTTTGCTGATCAGGTATTTATAGATGCTACGTTCGTCGGCATATTCCTTTGCGGTCCTTTGCAGTCCTTTGTGGTTAATGTTTGTACTTTATGTATTTTGAGGCCGTAGATCTTTTATGGATCCGATATGCTGTAATCCTTGAGGGGACACATTAGGGGACACAAATGGGGAATCTCGCTCTGTTTTGAGTTTTCTCGGTATCGTGTTGATGTCTTCCAAAGTTAATTTTCACGTAGTACGATCAGCATTGCGGTATTCTGCTTGCAGAATTAATATGTCCAGTTGACGTTAAGCGGGGGAAAAGTGAATATGTCGATGGCCCCTAACAAGGGAAAACATCATGCGAAATTAGAGTCATATTCAGTTGCTTGTATATTCTAAACTTAAGTTTGCCACTAAAATTTAATAACGTCTTATTTTTACTATCTTTCCTTATACAGTCGACTCCCGATAACTCGAACCTTCAAGGAAAGCGAAAAAAGGTTCGAGTTATCGGGAGTTCGCAGAAAATAGCCGAGAGTAAGGTAAAAAACAGTTTTTTCTGCACAGTGAACATTTTAATTACATTTAATTGTAGAAATTTCACGTGAAAATTAAGAGTGGTTGTCAGAGAAAACCGGGCAAAATGTTAAAAATGTCAACGGAAGGGGGTCAACAGAATAAGCTCATACTAACATCATAGATAGGCTAGGTGGAGTAATGGACAAATATAATAAACATAGGTTTTTCACTGCTCTTGTATTAGAGATACGAGCATCACTTTATTTGACCCCCTCGGACGCCATTTTTGTAAGCAGATTTTGACCATTTTCTGAAGCTCACAAACTCCTCAAAGTTAAACGAGCGAAGTTCATTTTTTCGTATGCGATACAATACAACACAGGACTATCTTCGAAAACCATAAACATTGTTAAGTAGCTACGGGCAAGAGTAAAACTTTCTTATTTTACCTGACCTAAACTCAGTGTCTGCAAGCAAATCAAAAATCGGTCGTTTTTGAATTGATCTGTAGCGCACAACTAAAAGGATAATAAAACTATGACAGCTAAATTGCAGTCTACAATCATCCATGTTACCAAAACACTAACAA